CATGTGTACAGTTGTATAACACATCATGTGTACATTGTGTTGTGTGTTCCCCACCCAGTGTCTCCTTCCATCACCATTTAATCCTCCCCTTCACCCTCTTCTACCTCCTCACCCCCCCCCCCCCCCGCCTTTCCCTCTGGTAATCCCCATGCTGTTGTCAGAGTCTAAGAGTTTGTTTGTTTTGCTTAATTCCTCCCCCTTTTTTCATCCAGTCTCCCAACACCTAGGCTCTGCACCCGGGGTGACCCCGCCACCCCTCCCCAGTTTCCTCAAAGCGCCCCTCGCCTTTGACAGCTATCAGTCTGTTTTCTGTATCTATGAATCTTTTTATACTTTGTTAGCTTCTTTTCTTCCTTAGATTCCACGTGTAAATGAAATCATGAGGTATTTGTCTTTTTCTTACTGGCTTATTGACTTAGCATAATGGTCTCCAGGTCCATCCGTGCTGTCACAGAGGGTAAGATTTCCTTCATCTTTACGGCTGAGTAATATTCAATTGAGTTATACCACGGCTTTTTTACCCACTCGCCTACTGATGGGCACTTGAGCTTCTTCCAAATCTGGGCTATCTATATATATAAAAGCCTAATATGCTAAGTATCTGACCGTTTGGGTGACCACTCGACCAGTCGCTATTATGCGCACTGACCATCAAGGGCAGTCGCTCCGACCAGTAGGTTAGCTTCCTGCTGGGGTCTGGCCGATCGGGACTGGGCAAGATGGCCAGACACGTCCTGGAGGCCTTCTGCAGTCCCTCTCGGTCTCTAAAATATTTCTTCTAATTAATTTCCTTTCAATGTGCACGAATTCGTGCACTGGGCCTCTAGTTGTAAATAATGCTAAATGAATGCAGGGGTGTGTATTTTCTTTTGAATTAGTGTTTTGAGTTTCTTTGGTATATTCCCAGAAGTGAAATCAATAGGTCATGAGCCAGTTGTATTTTTAAATTTTGAGGAAACTTCATACTGACACTTGTCATTTGTGCCTTTATTGATGATAGACATTCTGGCAGGTGTGAGGTGATTTTTCAGTGTGGTTTTAATTTGCATTTCTCTGATGATTAGTGATAGGGAGCATCTTTTCATATGTGTATTGGCCATCTGTATGTCCTCTTTCTGGAAGTATCTATTCAGGTCTTTACCCATTTTATATATATACTAGTGGCCCGGTGAACGAAATTTGTGCAGGTGGGGGGGTTCCCCCAGCCCAGCCTGCACCCTCTCCAATCGGAGACCCCAGGGGGGATGTCCGACTGCCAGTTTAGGCCCGATCTCACAGGGATCGGGCCTAAACCGGCAGTCAGACATCCGTCTCGCAATCTGGGACTGCTGGCTCCTAAACGCTCACCTACCTGCCTGCCTGATCACCCCTAACCACTCTGACTGCCTACCTGATCACCCTAACAGCCTCTGCCTGACTGCCTGATCTGCCCTAACTGCCCTCCCCTACCAGCCTGATCTTGCCCCCAACTGCCCTCCCCTGCAGGCCCGATCTCGCACCCCAACTGCCCTCCCTGCTGGCCTAGTCGCCCCCAACTACTCTCCCCTGCTGGCTTGATCTTGCCCCCAACGGTCTTCCCCTGCCAGCCTGATCTTGCCCCCAACTGCCCTCCCCTGCTGGCCTGATCTCGCCTGTAACTGCTCTCCCCTGTAGGCCTAATTGCCCCCAACTGCCCTCCCCTGCCGGCATGATCTCGCCCCCAACTGCCCTCCCCTGCCTGCCTGATCTCACCCCAACTGCCCTCCCATGCCGTCCTGATTGCCCCTAACTGCCTCTGCCTCAGCCCCCACCACCATGGCTTTGTCTGGAAGAAAGTCAGACATCTGGAAGATGGCTGGTTGACCCGGTCTAATTAGCATATTACCCTTTTATTAGTATAGATAGATTATATAGGATAGGATTGTTTAAATGGGGGGGAAGCCTTTTTCAGCAGGAGGAGATGCTCTTGGCAGACAAAAATACATAATCCCTATATCTGGCCTGAAAGCCATCCATATGCACTATACTGCCAAACCAGTCAATAAAAAATTGAACCGCTTTCTTACACCTTACACTAAACAGCTGTTGCCATGAAAACCCCTCCTCAGCCCCCACCTTAGGTTCTGCCTTCGCAGTTCACCCAGATTAGGTTCTGATTGGTCAGTTTCTATGCCAGTCAGTGTCAAAAGCTCCGCCTCCTAGGCAGCCATTGGCTCCTGGCACTTCACCCAGATTTGGTTCTGCTTGGTCGGTTTCTATGCCAGTCAGTGTCTCTGGGCCTATCTCCGGGCCTGATCAGAGAGGCAGGGCTGATCAGCAGCTGCCCCAGGCTGCTGGTGAGTGGGCTGAACTGCTGACCTCTTGGAGAGAAAGAGAGGCGGGGCTGCTGGCGAAGCCCGGAGAGAGAAAGAAGCAAGGGCTAATCTACAGCTGCCACGGAGGCTGTGGATCAAACCCTGCTTCTCTCTCTAGGCCTCGCCAGCAGCCATGGCAGCTGCTGATCAGGCCCGCCTCTCCCTGTCTCCAAGAGGTCAGCAGTTCAGCCTGCTCGCCAGTCCCTGCCCACCCGAGCCTGCTGTGTGCACAGCCTGGCATTCAGTCGTCCCTTCTGTCGCTTTGGATGTTACCGACCCTGGCTCTTTATGTATATACTAGAGGCCCATTGCATGAAATTTGTACATGGGAGGGGGGTCCCTCAGCCTGGCCTGCGCCCTCTTCAATTTGGGACATCCCTCTCACAATCCAGGACCACTGACTCCTAACCACTTGTCTGCCTACCTGCTTGATCGTCGCCTAACCGCTCCCCTGCCGGCCTGATGGCCCCCAACTGCCCTCCCCTGTCGGCCTCATGGCCCCCAACTTCCCTCCCTGGCCAGCCTCGTGGCCCCCAACAGTCCTCCCCAGCCAGCCTCATGGCCCCCAACTGCCCTCCCCTTGCGGCCTCATGGCCCTCAACTGCCCTCCCCTGCTAGCCTGATCGCTCCTAACTGCCTCTGCCTCGGCCCCCACCACCGTGGCTTTGTCTGGAAGGAAGTCGGATGGTAGGAAGATGTTCAGCAGTCTCCCGGTCTAATTAGCATAGTACCCTTTTATTAGTGTGTGTGTGTGTGTGTGTGTGTGTGTATATATATACACACACACACACACCCCCCCACCCCCGCATTATACATATACATATACATATACCCACACATATGCTGGCTTCTTTGCTTTCTTTTATTTCATGTTTTTAATTCCTCACCAGCAGGTATGTTTTTTATTGATTTTAGAGAGATAGGAAGCTGTGTGTGTGTGGGGGGGGGGGGGCATCTATTGGTTGACTCCCATTCATACCCCAATTGGGAATCAAACACAAACTGGGGCAAGTGCCCTGACCTGAAACGGAACGCATGATCTTTTGTTTTGTTGTTTAGTTGTATAAATTCTTTATAATTTTGAGTAGGAACCCTTTTTCAGATGTTTCATTGATGAATATGTTCTCCCATTTAGTTGTCTGTCTTTATTTTATTGATGATTTCCTTTTAGTTTGATTAGTCCCATCATTTATTGAATATACTACTTTTGTTATATATTCTGGCCTCCTGTGTCAATTATTCCTTCACCATAAAGGCTTGGCTTTATTTCTGGCCTCTCTGTCCCATGCCACTGATTTATATGCTATTTTTATGCCAGGACCATGCTGTTTTGATTACTATGGCCTTGTAGTATAGTTGGGTATTAGGTAGTGTGATTCATCCACATTGTTCTTCTTTCTCAAGATTGCTGTTGCTATTCAGGGTGTTTTGTGTTTCCATATAAAATTTTTGAATATTTGTTTTAATTATGTGAAATACACCATTAGTAACTTGATAGGAATTGCATTGAATCCATAGATTTCTTTAGGTAGTATGGACATTTTAATAATATTAATTTTTCTTATTCATAATCAACATATATAGTGTACATATATAGTGTTCCACTTACAGTATATACATTGCAATTACAGTTTACATTTAATTTATTTTGTATGTTTCAGATGTAGAACATAGTGTTTAGATAAATTTTACAGTGTTGTCCACCTGATATTTTCAGTAACCCCCTAACCCCTTATGTATTTTGTAATCATGTGCCATTTCTACATGAATATATTGAGGATTTCAATAAAGGCCCCTTCCATGCCAAGTCCTAAATTGTTCCTCAAGATCCAGACCCCAGTTACACTGTTAAATTCTACCAGAAAGACTTTTTTGTGTGTGATCTTATGATTTCAATATGCATGTCTCTGTGTCCTAAAAACCAGTATGAAGTAACCCTCAGGCTCATGAGTAGAGGACTTTTGTAGAGGACCAAATTGTCCTGTCTTGCTCATGCCTAAGCTTTAACTCTAATGTCCTACCTCCATGAAATGAGAGAGGCAAAAGAAGGTCAAACTGAGTTACTAACAAATAATATAAAAATAAATGATCATTCATACTCCTCCACAAGAATATTTTCATTCATTCAGGTGTATCTGACTACTTCTAAGAATCTGGAGTACTTCAGGACAATATGGCCAAGTACATTTTATTCCAAGTTGAATTTCCACACACCGCCTGGCCTCTCCTATTTGGTGATGAGAATAGAAAGCTACCATGCCTTTATTGTATTCATAGTCATTAAAACATTATGCAGAAATGACAGTGTGTGTCTTGGACTGCTGCATCAAATGGTGATTATAAAGGAGATGAAGTTTCTCACAAAGAATCAATGGACTTAACATAGAAATATTTTAATTTATTAATATAGAAGTTGTTCAAGATGCTCTTCACCCTGACATTAGAGAGCAATGAAGACTTGAAGTTATTACAATAAAATCATATCAATAAATTCCATGTATTCATGGGGATGTGAGTGTGGCAAATAAGTAGTCTTGATAGTCTTACAATCAAGTCATAGACTGAATGTTGGGGACCATGTGTTCTATGTGAACTTCTTATGAATTATGTATAGGTCGCCAGTGCTGTCATAACCATTCTCCTATATGTATATGTGGGATGTTTTAGGACTCAGTGGCCTTTGAGGATGTAAATGTGGAGTTCACCATGGAGGAGTGGGCTTTCCTGAATCTGACCCAGAAGAAACTCTACACAGATGTGATGCTGGAAACCTTCTGGAACCTGGCATCAGTAGGTAGTTATGACAAATTCTTTGTTTTTTAATATATTTTTATTGATTTTAGAGAGGAAGGGAGAGGGAGAGAGAGAAAAAACTTAATGATGAGGAAAAATCACGGATATAGCCAACAAACCAGGCCTACTGGGAATTGACCTGTGAATTCCTTGTTCACATAGGTTGATGGTCAATCAGTGAGCTACGCTGGGCAGCAACAACTTTTTACTTATTTAGTCGATTAGAAAACTGGTGTTGCTTGCTCATCAGTGCTGTTTCAAGAACTGAAGTATGAAAGAGAGTACATTGGCAATTAAACTAGGAATGATCACAGCTCATTGTGTACCTAAAAATCTAACCATTTTTCATATTCCTTAATAGTTTATAATGCTTTTTCTAGCATGTATTTTAGAAGAAAAATGTGAAGGCCATGACATTGAAAATCAGTATGAAAATCATGGGATGAATCTTAGGTAAGTGACATTGACATGAGAAAGCAATGTCTCATAAGAGAATCTGTTTTTTGGAAAATATGTTTTTATATATGTATTTTATTCATTTATTTTTTAAAATATTTATTTTATTTATTTCAGAGAGATAGGGAGCGGGACAAAAAGAGAGAAACATCAATGATGAGAGAGAATTATTGATCAGCTGCCTCCTGCTCATCCCACACTCAGATTCAAGCCCACAATCTGGGCACTTGCCCTGATGGTGAATAGAACCATGACCTCCTGGTTCATGGGTCAAACCTCAACTACTGAGGCATGCTGGTGGTGTGAAAATATGTTTTTATTGATTTTAGAGTGTGGAGGTGAGAGGGAGAGATAGAAACATGAATTGACTGCCTACTGCATATCCTGTACTGGGGTTAATAAGCCTGCAACCTGGCCATGTTCCCTGTCATGGAATTGAGCTGGAAACCCCCCTGGTGCATGGGTCCATACTGAACAACTGAGCCATGTGGATCCGGTCCACAAAAGAATCTTAAAAATAGGCAATCCAATTATATCAGCCCAGCTTTAAATGTATTGATTCTTAGAATAATCTCATCAAAATGTTTTTTCTGAAATATGACCTAGATGTGTAGTGTATAAAAAACAATTACACTTGGAAACAGTATACAGAAGTACCATTAATGAATATAAGTGTTTTCATAATGTCTATGATCCAACCTATTTCAGAGGCTTTAGGATATCCACTTTCAAATAATAAGAATGTACAGAAACCCCGCACTTTCCTTGAAAATGGTAAATATGTCATTGTCATATTATTAATAAATATTAAATCATTAACAGAGTATTAATAATATGCTTCTGATTTTAGTTAGAGAGTTAGGAACATCGATGAGAGAGAAACATCGATCAGCCGCCTCCTGCACATCTCCCACTGGGGATGTGCCTGCAAGAAAAGAGGAAAACTCCTACTGAAATAAAACAACCTAAATCCAGGTTGTGTAGTCAAGTCTTCATGCATTATTTATCCTTTAATAACCACCTGAGCTCTCCCATTGGGCGCAAACTATACCTGTGTCAGGAATATGAAGAAAACGCTTATAAATGTAAGGAACCTGAGAAAGCTATTAAGCATCACCAACAAATTCAAAGACATGAAGGGAGACCCAGTGGAGAAAAAACCTATGAATGTAAGGTATGTGGGAAAGCTTTCCACTATTCAACTTCTCTTAGAAATCATGAAAGATCACATGTTGGTGGGAAACCATATGAGTGTAAGCAATGTGGCAAAGACTTTAGTCATCTCATTTACTTTATAATTCACAAAAACACTCATAATGGAGAGAAACTATATCAAAGTAAGCAATGTAGCAAAGCTATCAGTTCTCCCAAGTATTCTCAAGAAAATGAAAGAACACACACTAGAGAAAAGTCCTATCAATGTAAGAAATCTGGTAAAAGTTTCAGTTCCAGTTATCTTAGAAATCATGAAAGAACACATACTGGCGAGAAACCTTATGAATGTAAGCAATGTGGGAAAGTCTTCAGTTGGCTCAGCTCTCTTGGAAAACATAAAAGAAGTCATGATGGAAAGAAGCCTCATGAATGTAAGGAATGTGGTAAAACATTCCATGACCGCTGTTCCCTTAAAGATCATGAAAGAACTCATACTGGATCAAAACCCTATGAATGTAAGCATTGTGGTAAAGATTTCTCTCATCGAACTTCCCTCCAACGTCATGAAAGAATTCATACTGGGGAAAAACCCTATAAATGTAAGCTTTGTTGCAAAGCTTTTTCTTATGTAGTTTCCCTCCATCGTCATGAAAGAACTCATACCGGGGAAAAACCATATGAATGTAAGCTTTGTGGTAAAGTTTTCTCGTATTCAACTTCCCTCCAAAATCATAAAACAACTCATACCGGGGAAAAACCCTATGAATGTAAGCAATGTGGAAAAGTCTTCAGTAGGCTCAGCTCTCTTGGAAAACATAAAAAAAGTCATGAAGGAATGAAGCCTCATGAATGTAAGGAATGTGGTAAAACATTCTATGATCCCTATTACTTTCGAGATCATGAAAGAATTCATACTGGGTTGAAACCCTATGAATGTAAGCATTGTGATAAAGATTTCTCTCGTCGAACTTCCCTCCGACGTCATGAAAGAATTCATACTGGGGATAAACCCTATAAATGTAAGCATTGTGGCAAAGCTTTCTCTTATCCCACTTACCTCCAACGTCATGAAAGAACTCATACGGGGGAAAAACCCTATAAATGTAAGCATTGTGGCAAAGCTTTCTCTTATCCCACTTACCTCCAATGTCATGAAAGAACTCATACTGGGGAGAAACCCTATAAATGTAAGCATTGTGGAAAAGCTTTCTCTCATCCAGCTCCCCTCCAAGATCATGAAAGAACTCATACCGGGGAAAAACCCTATGAATGTAAGCATTGTGGCAAAGCCTTCCATAGTCGCAAGTACTCTCGAGAACATGAAAGAACACAATGTGGAGAAAAGCCCTATGAATGTCAGCAATGTGGTAAGACTTTTAATTTTTCCACATCTCTTAGACATCATGAAAAAATGCATACTGGGGAGAAACCCTATGAATGTAAGCAATGTGGCAAAGCGTTCAGACATTCCACTTCTTTTAGAAATCATGAAAGGATGCATACTGGGGAGAAACCCTATGAATGTAAGGAATGTGAGAAAGCCTTTTTCTCTGCCAAATGTCTTAGAGAACATAAAATAACTCATCATGGAAAGAAGTCTCATGAATGTAAGGAATGTGGTAAAAGTTTCCTTTATCCCTATTACCTTAGAAATCATGAAAGAACTCATACTGGGGAAAAACCCTATGAATGTAAGCATTGTGGCAAAGCTTTCTCTTATTCAGCTTCCCTTCGATGTCATGTAAGAACTCATACTGGTGCTCTAGCCAGTTTTGCTCAGTGGATAGAGCATCGGCCTGTGGACTGAAGGGTCTCGGGTTTGATCCTGGTTCACTTATCTCTCAGCTGTACCATCATGTATGATAATTCATATTGGGGATGGACCCTAGAAATGTAAGAGGGTTAGAAAGCATTCATTTCCTCCAATTTAATGTGAAGGATGAAAGAACTCACTGAAGAGAAGCCCTGTCATGTAACGATGATAAAAGAGCCTTTGGCCATGAAGGGACTCACACACAGCAATAAGTGTATGAACATAAGAAATGTAGGAGAACCTTTCCTGGACATGTGAAAATGCACCTGTAGAAATAGTGTACACTTATAGCAAAGATGGGAAAGTCTTCAGCTGTCCCTTTTGCTTGGAAAGGCCATAAAAAAACTCAAAGTGGAGAATTGTATTGAATGTAAAAATGTAGGAAAACCTTATGTTGCCTCATATCCCTACAATACCATGTGAGAATGTACACTGTATAATTGACAATTAAAACAAACTTTGAAATTTTAACAAATACTTTCAAAGTAGCTTGAACACTGCACTGAAAAGAAATCCTATTAGTGTAACTAACTGGTACATGTAAGCCTGTTGCAAATTAAGTCATATACTCCCCAAAACTCACAGCATTAAATAAGTTCTATAAACTTTTGACATATTTGGTCATTATCAGTACCCATTCTTTTTTTTGTTAGTTTTTAAATTGCTTTTTTGAAGTGAGGAAGGGAAAGAGAGAGAGAGTAGAGAGAAACATTCATGTGAGAGAGAAACATAGATGGGTTGTTTTCCCATGTGCCTAACCAGGGATAGATTCTTCTACCCAGTGATGTGCCCTGACAGGTATTGAATGAATAAACCCTACACACATATGTGTTCTTTTTTAATTTTTGAATTGCACTTGAAATTCACTACTATTTTAGCTAATAAGTATTTGCCATATATTTGTACTTACAGTTCACTGGAGAGTCCCATGTGAATTATTTTCATGGTTGGTTTTTGTGTTGCTTTTGGCTTGGAATTGTGCCATGGGGTTCACATTAGGAAGAGAATATTTTAGTTCGTTTTTCTCGATCTTTGTCCTGCCAGCCAAGAAATCCTCAAAATTGCCAGCCACTGCTTTACTTCCATTGATGTCGGGTGTAAGCTTTATAGATGTTCACAATTCAACATTAAAGATCCACTATAGGTTGGCTTTTCCTGCAAGCCCATAGGTGTCTACCACGCAACAAATGTGGACTAACATGGTTTAGGCTGTTTTCTGAAGGGTACGCACTGTTCTCTAGATTGCATTTGCATGAGGTCTAATTTGACTAGTGATCATCTTGTCCTGTTCATACTACTATTGACTGTGATTCAGATCCCACTGTGACAGTTGCAATGGTTCAGTGCAAAGGAACCATGGGACAGTTTTAAAGTTCCTTCTAGCCAAACATCAACAAAATCACATCCCTATTTTTAAAAGGGATGTAATGAAATGTATTCAAATAATATAAATAACCACAAACTGTCCTGCCCAGCATTGCTCAGTTGAGCATCCTCCCGTGCACTGAAATGTCATGGGTTCCATTCAGGGTCAGGGCACATAACCAGATTTTGGATTCAGTCCCTGGTTCAGGCACATAGGAAAGGCATCCTTTCAATGTTTCTCTCACATAGATGTTTCTTTCTCTTGGAAAAAAAATCAATAAACAGCGGTGGATGGGGAAAGGAAGACATCTGTAATAGATTCAATAATAAAAATAAATATAAAAATATGTACAGTCAAACATCATTTCTCAAATGTCTCTCATCTCGAAAAATTCTGTTCTTGACTAAATTGTACACAGAAAAAAATGTGTCCGTGGAGGAACCAAACTTCAATTTTGTAACTGACAGTCTTCAAGCTGATACCTCACTTAGCATGACTGAAAGCTTCTTTTAGGCAACAAAGGAGAGAGTGCTTTTTTGGGGGGTGGAATCAATGACTAGCACGGGAGTGCTAATGTTGTTAAAGGTGTGAGTGAAACAATGATCACAGGCCACTGAAGAGATATTAAAACTTGTGGATTTGGATAAAGGAACAGCAGTTAGCCAGTGACAGCCATTTTGGAGGCAATGGAACAAGTAAAGATGTTACATACTGACCTGAAAGACACCCTTCACCTGAATGCTAAAAGTGATTCCTTTGAGCTAGTAGGGGGTGGTTTGATAAATTGAACAAAAGAAGTGTTTATTTATAGATTAAACAGTACATTAGACATGTGCAGTATATAAGAAAGGTTTTAACAGGGAATCATTTTTGGTTTCTGGAACAGATTAATTCAATTTACGTGATTTCTAATGGGGGGGAAATGATTCGGTTTTTGCACAAATCCCTTCTCAAACAGCCTTCCTGAACAAATTAAGTTTGAGAGTTGAGGTTCTACTGGACAAAAAAGAAAAGAAAGTCAACAAGCATCCTCTGTGAAGATTTTTCAAAAGAGAATGACCACAAACCAAAAATGATGTAACAGCACACTTAAAAGGATTTCTTTCATTTCCTTTGTGATAGATGATTTGATTGCCATTCAGGAAAACAAGACATTTTCCTGCGCTGCATTTTGTGAGGAAATGAACTTAATTCTACCTCGGGTAATGATAACCATTTTTATATAGAGCACAGAATATATGATTTGCCGAACCTAAATTGTAAGAAGCACAAATCATACTAGTGAGAAAAGGGGAGTTTTTGTTATTTTTATTCTTTGGAAACCTGTTCTCTTTCATCAAGTATGCAGACATCAATGCCTTTGTCTTGATTCATCATAGTCATGGCATAGCTTTGTGTGATGATGGACATGTGTGACCTTTTGTTTTCAACAAGGTATATCTAGGGCTGGCATGAGTGTAAGGGGTCTGGAATAGCTTGCCTTGCTTATCTAAATACTGAAATATGTACTATAATGTATTGGATGCATTTCCAAAAGGTACCGTAGTGAAATATATATAAAATCACATGCTCCTTAACAAGATATATGAGACTTGTTATCTCCTTTATGAGTTATCTGAGGTTTATAAATTTAGGAATATTATCAAAGAACATCAAAGAACACAAACCTAGCAAGAAAAAACGTTAGCATCTCTTATAATGAAGCCATTCCTACTGAGAAAGTATGATCTTTTTTTTTTTAATATTAATTTTAGAGCCCTGGCTGGTGTGAGTCAGGCCTGAGGACTGGATGTTTGCAGGTTCAATTCCTGGTCGAGGACACATACCTTGGTTGTGCCTTACATCCCTGTCCCCAGTTGGGGCAAGTGCAGGAGGCTTCTAATCGGTGTCTCACATTGATGTTTCTCTTGGGCACTTTAACCTCCGCCCCTTCCAATCTGTTCAACAATTAGAGATAAAAATATCCTTGGGCGAGGAAAAGAACAAAATTAGAAAATGAGAGAGGAAGACAGAAAAACCAGTGAGATATTCCACGTATTTATGCATTCATTGGTTGATTCTTGTGTGTGCCCTGGCCCAGGACTGAACCTGAAACCTTGGCTTTTGCCGATGACACTCTAATCAACTGACCTACCTGACCAGGGCAATAGTATGATCTTGATGTTAATTTTCAACATCCTGCTCAGGCCAGGCAGTTTAAATGGAAAACATACCAAATGTAGCACAAGAAGAGAAGTTATGAAATACGGGGTAAAAGTGATCACTTTTATTTCATTCAAGAGCCAAGGAAATCCAGACTTGGCCCCTATTCAAGTCACACTAGGCCAGTGATGGCAAACCTATGACACGCGTGTCAGAGGTGACATGCGAACTCATTTTTTTGGTTGATTTTTCTTTGTTAAATGGCATTTAAATATATAAAATAAATATCAAAAATATAAATATTTGTTTTACTATGGTTGCAAATATCAAAAAATTTCTATATGTGACACGGCACCAGAGTTAAGTTAGGGTTTTTCAAAATGCTGACACGCCGAGCTCAAAAGGTTTGCCATCACTGCACTAGGCTGTGATATATAGGTGTGAAATAAAAAAGTTCTTGCACTCCTGGTGATTATGTTTTTGTGGAAAAGGAGTGATGACTCAATGAGAAAGCTTTGGTTTCTAACAAAGTTAAGGTGTTGAAGGTAAGGAAGCATGAACAAGTGAGATAATAGGGAACTGTGGAGGATTATATATCTTCCACGGGGGTAGGGGCCTCAGTAAATGGGGTAGTCATCATTGATCATCTTTTCTTCCACCTAAAACATCTTAAATAGTTGTGGATCTGCTTGAATGTGGACTTAAACAATGGACAACATTACCCAAAGTTCTCTCTTCCTGGGACTGGCAGCAATGGTTTTCCAGAAAGGTATGGACAGGGTTGTAAGTTTCTGAGCATGTGTTCTTTGATTAAGATATGCACATGGGTATGTGACATGAGGGACTTCTCACTGCTTTAGGACATAATACTTTTGGTACCGATTTTCTATTTAATAGCAATGTAAAATAATTTGAAATTTTCTTTGGAATGGCATATCATTTTGCTGCTATTCAAACTGAGTGAGCAATTTGTGTACCTTACGAAACTTTTTAGTTTCTTTATGTTGAAGAAAGTTCTGGTCATCTGCACAGTTGTAGCCCATCATGGGTTTTCTGTGAGTGGAGTGATTCCTGTGCAAGTCCAAGGTGGGTTCCTGGTAAACATGGCAGAAAGCTATCGCCGTTTAGAGGATGATGATCTAAGAAATAATTGAGGTGAACTGCAGACAGACAGTGTCAGCAAAGCAGGTAGATTTGATATCGTGAAACTGGGACCTTTTCTGTGCCTTTGATAAGAGGAGTAGCTGGAAGTTTTTTGTATCTGGGGAAGGCACCAAGCCTTCCATGCTCGTTTTTTGCTGTTTGCAGGGATCATTTCCATGTGTTTGCACTCCCAGGAGATGAAACATGGGGTGCAAAGTGATGGCTTCTGTTTCATTCAAGAGCCATGGACATCCAGACTTGGATGGACCCTTTGCTTTTTTCAACTCTAATTGATGTTTTCTTAGTGTGTAGAGCTGATGTGATTTTATAATTCCTGTTATGTCATTGCTCTCATCATGTAAATGAAGAACCTCAAGCAGAAATCTTACTCAAAGTTACATAACTCATAATAAAGGAATCTCTCCATTTTAAAGTCAGAATGTTTGCCCCTCTACTGTGGAATGTTAAAAACTTTAATCTCAGATGAACCTGCGAGGCTTGTATAATTATGTACTGTTACAAATGTGGTGTCACAATTTCTAAACAGGACTAAAAATTCAAAATGGTAATCCACTTTGATGACATTCTGGAAAAGGTAAAGGTATAAGAACAGACCTGTGTATAAATGTAGATTCAGCATAAATAGGCACCATGATTGTATTCCTTTCTTTGATGGAGTGTCTTCTGTCTTGATGGTAGTGTAACTGCATTTGGGGAAACTCTTGAAACAGTGTGTATAAATACTAAAAACAATATAAAGCAAAAGTGTTTTCATTCCCTAGCCAGTTTGGCTCAGTGGACAGAGCATCAGCCTGCGGACTGAAAGGTCCCAAGTTCGATTCTGGCCAAGGGCATATGATTCTCATCATTGATGTTTCTATCTCTCCTTCCTTCCTCTCTGAAATCAATATATATATATATATATTTTTAAGGTGTTTTCATTCTCTAGTAGGTTACGGATCGAGCGTTGGCCTGTGGACTGAGAGTCCCAGGTTTGATTTGTGGAGTTTAACTGCTGGGTATGGTCCAAGAAAGAGGAAGAGAGCTCTGCAAATAGCACTGTCCTTTGAAGTTTTGGCGTGTGTGGAGGAAATAGACTTACTAAAGTGATCCAGGCAGCCACCGAACAAATGATTAAGCAAATAATAAAAATCTCCAGAAGATAGGTGACCAGTACTCAGAATCACTACATTTTATATTACCTGAAATGTCCACTTTTCAACAAAAATATAAACCATGAAATGATACAGGAAAGTAGGAACCATATTCTGAGAGAAAAACAGCAATTGAAAAATGACCAAACTCTCATAAGGACCCCCCAGTTAAATTAACAGGTGACGTGTAAATTCAAAAGGGCTAAGTAGTAAATCTGAGAAGCTCAGTGACTGGATGTAAGTTCACATGATCTGATCATAAATTCCTAACTGGGCATGTCATAGTGCATAGTCACACCTCAGGCCTATATCTTTCTTAGTAAAATGTTTATCTTTGCCTTAAGCAAGCCCTGTCCCATATTCTTAAATGTCTAGTTTAACACATTTTAATCCTATATAATAAAGAGCTAATATGCAAATGGTCGCCACGCCCTCACACCGGAACTGCTCAGACACTCAACACCGGGGAGAGAGGAATGGGAACCAGCCAGGCACAAATGAGCTCACAAGAGAGGAATGGGGACCAGCCAGATACAAATGAGCTCATGAGAGAGGAATGGGAACTAGCCAGGCTGCAGCCTGGGAGAGGGACAGGCTACCTGTCCCACGGTCCCAGGCACGCCAGTAGCTGTGTCTGCGCCTGTGGCCCGGGAGAGGGAGAAGCCACCTGCCCTGCAGTCCTGGGTGCCAGCACCTGCACCTGCGGCCCAGGAGGGGGACAAGCCACCTGCCCTGTTGTCCTGATGCCTGCAGGTGTGGCCCTGCAAAACCATCCACCCATGGTCCCCTGTGGCTGCAGCCAGCCTGGGCGAAGCCGGCCTGGATCCTGGGTGCCTGCAACCAGCCAGAGAAGGGAATCTTGGGTCCCAGGTGCGGTGTGAGGCAGAGGTGGTTAGGGGTGATCAGGCTAGCAGGGGAGTAGTTAGGGGAAACCAGGCAGGCAGGCAGAGTGGTTGGGGTGATCAGGCAGGCAGGCACGTGAGCGGTTTGGAGCCAAAAGTCCTGGATTACAGAAAGTAGTCGGACAGCCCCCAAGAGGTCCAGAATTGGAGAGGGTGCAGGCTGGGCTGAGGGACCCTTCCCCACCCCCCCACCCTGCATGAATTTCATGCACCGGGCCTCTAGTATATATATACATATTCATTGATTTCAGAGAGGGAGAGACAAATATCAATGATGAAATAGAATCATTGATCAACTGCCTCCTGCAAGCCCCCCACTAGGGATCGAGCCCGCAACCTGGCATGTGCCCTTGACTGGAATCGAACTCGGGACCCTTCAATTCGCAGGCCAGCGCTCTATCCACTGAGCAAGACTTGCCATGGCATCAAAATGCTTTAATATACCTTTGAGATTGCGGAATAATCCTCTTTTCCAGAGCCCTCAGAATGAGCACGTGGTTCTGTTGGCTGTATACCATCAAGCCAGCATTATAAGAAATGCTAAAGGGATTGCTGAGAAAAAATAGAGAGAGAAACCTAGGCGTACAGAATTAAATGGCTCTAAATAAGTGCCTCTCAATAATAACTCTAAATGTAAATGGATTAAATGCTCCAATCAAAGGTGTAGGGTAGCTGAATAGATACAAAAACATGACCCAACTATATCCTGTCTACAGTGGTCACCAGCCAGTGGCCCATGGACCACTGGTGATCCGTGAGGTCCGAAAGTTGGTGACCGCTGGACTCTACAAGAGGCCCACCTCAAAACAAAAGACACACACAGGATGAAAGTGAAGGGATGGAAAAATTTTTTCCATGCAAATGGAGAAGAAAAAAAAAGCTGGAGTAGCAATACTCATATCCAGCCAAACAGACTTTAAAAGCATCCTGCTAAGCAAAATAACCCAGTCAGAGAAAGATAGATATCATATGATCTCACTCATTTGTGGAATATAATGAACAACATAAACTGATGAACAGAAATGGAGCCAGAGGGGGGGAATATGCTAGAACCGTGGACGGCAAACTGCGGCTTGCAAGCCACATGCGGCTCTTTGGCCCCTTGAGTGTGGCTCTTCCTAAGCCTTAGGAGTACCCTAATTAAGTTAACAACAATGTACTTACCTATATAGTTTAAGTTTAAAAAATTTGGCTCTCAAAAGAAATTTCAAACGTTGTACTGTTGATGTTTGGCTCTGTTGACTAATGAGTTTGCTGACCACTGTAGCTAGAATATAATAGAAATAATCCTGTTATTTGCAGATTTTTAATATTTTCTACAACTTTTGTGATATTATACTATGTTAGTATAGTTTTGGTAATATTATTATACTTAAAATACTTTTATTCTTGAAATAATGTTTATTGCATGCAATATATGTAAGATCATTTTCTTGAATAATTGGTGTTAATTGCATGTAACATTGTCATATTTAAAATCGTTAAAAAAAGAAGTCAATAATCTATTTAGTAACTTAAATGTATTGAAAACAGATCCAATACAGTTGATTCATTCATTTAACAATCTTTATTAACTGGGACTAGAGACACAGTGGTAAATATGACTATGGCTTGCTTCCTGGGGAAGTCACAGCCAAATAATAAACCAGTTAACAAATAAGTAAAAACTCATTACAGAATAGTGCTTTGAAGAAGTCATGTGAAAAAGTCAGCAATCAGTCTTTCTAGTCCAATTCTATTTTTAGAATCAGATTTATTTTGAGCAATAAATTAGTTATTTAAAACAAACAAACAAACAAACCAAAAAAACCCCACAGCCTGGGGTTGTGCCCTGACTGGGAATCAAACCTGAAACCTTTCGGTGTACAGGACAATGTTCCAACCAACTGAGTCACACTGGAAAGGGAACAAACAGGTACTCACACTTTGTTAAAAATGCATGCAAGAGTTAAGAGTAGTGTTGGAGCCCTGCCGGTGTTGCTCAGTGGGTACTCCCCATGCACCAGGAGGTCATCAGTTCAATTCCCAGTCAAGGCACATGCCAGGTTTGCAGGCTTGATCCCCAGTAGGGGAATGCAGGAGGCAGCCGATGGATGTGTCTCTGTCATTGATGTTTCTATCTCTCCCTCCCCCTCTCCCTTACACTCTAACAATAAATAAAAACATTTTTTTAAAAAGTAGTGTTGGAGAAATAGTAGCACCAAACTAAGCCTCTTTCAGAAAGATTGAAAGAAAACTGAAAAAATAATAAACTTCATTATCTAATTCAAAAATAAATAAATAAAAAATAATCAACCAATGAATGCATAAGTTAAGTGGAACAACAAATCAATGTTTATCTCTCAAAAGCAATAAAAGTTTTTTTAAAAGATATGCTTTTAGAAGGGTTTGAAGATTGGATCATTCCCATTACAGAAACACAGGACAAGATATGGAATGCACAGTGTTTGCTGAAAAAACATGTGAAGCAGTATTCTGGAAAGTTTTTCTAAAACTAGTGAAAAACTGAAGGAGTCCTGCATTTTTCTTAACCTGCTTCTGTTTAATAAGGCCACAATCCTCTGCCTCATAGGTGTTCTGCATTTGAGGTCTATGCTGTTCATCAAATGTCATGTTTTAGTTCCTTACAAACAGGGTGAGAGGCATGCGAAAACTAACATTAAAATTTTGAAACAGCAGCAGAATGAGTGAATTTTCGTTTTTGTTCGTTGTTGGTGGTTAAGAAGAAAAATCCGCCCTAACCGGTTTGGCTCAGTGGATAGAGCACCGGCCTGCGGACTGAAAGGTCCCAGGTTCGATTCCGGTCAAGGGCATGCACCTTGGTTGCGGGCACATCCCCAGTAGGAGGTGTGCAGAAGGCAGCAGATCGAGTTTTCTCTCTTTATTGATGTTTCTAACTCTCTATCCCTCTCCCTTCCTCTCTGTAAAAAAATCAATAAAATATATTTTTTTTTT